AAGAATACTGACTTGTACATCGGCTGGCCCCCGCAAGTCATTGTATAGGCCACATCGCATTCAATAAGCCACTAAGATTCTGAATGGAAGTATCCTTCTACGAGACCACCACCGTCGTCGAGGATTTATCGAGGAGCGGGAGAAGATCGTAGTTTAGCATTCCACAAGATTCCCGCGGAAAGGGCAAGTCTTGAAAAGGTGGACTCGAACTCGCAGCTTACGCTTTTGGATTCGGATGACAAGCAAATGACGAAATTCGGAGCGCAAACTGTGGCCTTAAACAGCAGTTATCATAAATGAGCATAATAGGTATTCCAATTGTTACCGCGGAGGGGGAGGGCCACAATAATTAAGGGCGTTGCTGCACGCCTACCACATTTGACTACTGTCCGCTTGTTCCTCTTCCTCAGCTCGCCACGCGCCACTCGGAATCATATTTTGAAAACTCCCCCCTCTGAAAATAATGGGCACGGTCTCAGCCTTCCAACTGAAAAGTTGCTAGAGACATAAATTTTTCGAGCTCCGCGCTATGTGAGCTTTGTAATACACCTGTGAGATTGATGGAAAAAGATAAGGGAACTGCGATGTCAGCAACTGCGTTCAAAGAAAATAGGTGGCACATACAACCTTTGAGAAGGCACTATCAAAAAAGCACTATAAGTATGCACCCTGCAAGCCTGAAAAAGTAAGAACGTTGTAATGTAACTGATTGATGCTAAGCGTTTAATCAATCCCATTGGTAGGTAGTATCATTCCCTCTTGGAAGCAGCACTAAAACAGAGTAACTAATTTCTTTACCAAGGTCGCACTCAAGGAGGAAGGACAGGAAGGACAATGTGGCAGTCCCACTTGCGTGCTTCCTTACTGGTGTTTTCTTCATTAGTCGATCACTATCTGATCAATGCTGGTCGAACAAGGCCTGCTTCATTCCGCCTCTCCTAATACCGCCCTGTCTGATTGCGACGTTATCACGGAATATGTTAACGAGGAGACAGTGTACTTACACACGTGGGGCCCAAAAAAGACCCTTTGTCCGAGGCTCATATCAGTAAGGAATAAGCAATCGCCTGAAGTTTAAGAGTGTGCTACGAGACCAAGGCGGAAAAACCCAAGTGTTCCTCGATTAGGGCAGTCGGCCATATCTTCATGCTATACCAAAATCTGAATCATCGCTCAACGCCTGACTGGAGAATGGCCTTAGATTCACGTCATCTGGCATGTGTCACAACAGAAATAAATGTAGTGATATTATAATAATAGATAGAACGGTATTATGGTGGACTCGTTTTCAAAATTTAGTTGATTAATCATTCATTTGAAGGATAGAAATGGGCGTATTTCTAACACAGTCAATTTAATTACAGACAGGGAGGGTCAAAAAATGACATTTTGCCGAAGACACATATCAGGGAACAATACCCAGATCAGAGGAAAGACGTGGATACGAGTATCAGGGTAAAGATACACAAGATGATCCTCAATAAGCAGAAGCAGGCTCTCTCTCATCACCTTTACTTACACCAAAATATGAAGCCAACTCCAATCGCAGCCTGACTGGAGAGGGCCAATAGAATCCACATCACCTCGAAATATTTGCGGCAGTACCTGGGAACCGGCACTCTTGATTTGGAAGACCTCCAACAACGAGCAGCTCCGACAACGTCGCTATGCTCCAGGACATCTTCTCTGCAGTCGCCAAGGCGCGGGTTGATGGTACGGACCGAACGTTCTTGGAATGAAAGACAGATCTTCGAACCCTGGAATGAAAGTGAACGTTGACTTTTACATCAAGCAGCTCGAGGAGAACATCCTCTCTTCATGTCGTCGCCTGTACCATCGTGAGAACTTCGTACTGCAACAGGATGTGCCAGCACATAGATTCGAAAAACTCTCGCCGTCTTTGGGATCGAAAGGCGTTGAGTACCTGAAGAAGATGGAATATCTAAGCAGGTCACCTGAACTAAACCCCCTCAATTACCGGTTCGGGCGGAGTTCAATAGGGTGGTCTACAGTGGCGGAGAAATCAACGATCTCGCTGAACTCAGGCACCGAATCACGGTCGCGTGGCAGAATCTCTCCAGATGGCTGTGGCGGAGTTTCGTGATCGTGTGCAATGTGTTGTTGAATTTGATGGTGGGAATGTCCAATCAGAATTCAATGAATGGTCACTTAATTTGCTTCGAAAGTCAAGGAAAAAAGTGCATTTTCTGCCCCCCCTTGTAGAGAAGTAATGTGTGTGTATGTAATTTCGGGTCGAGTTTGCTAGTAGCTCACCGATTCTCACGACTGGGAGGGTTCGGCTGACATCGCTACTGTTTCATCCTGAAGACGGCAAGTGCGATGGGTCAGCAGAACCAATTACACGGCCATAATGCACTCCTTGTGAAGATCCCCGCGCAGAGGTTTCCTGAAGGAGATCCTTCCACTGTAACGACTTAATCCCTGCAAACTACAGGACATGAAGGGGCATGGAGTGGAGCGCTGCTAAGGCGTCCTTCACATCAATAACGGCATCCTGAGTCCACAACGATTGGCGGGAAGGACTGTCCTGGCTGCCATCAACTCACTTCCTTTCACAACGCCCTATCGTTTGTAGGGATCACGACTGTATGAAGAGGCCATATATGATGAAGAGGTGTTAGTCATAGGTGGCACCGTATGCCACGTCTGTGGTCCACTGGGCAAATTCAGACCCACCAATTAACCATGAGTTTTTATTCTTCCGGATTGAGCACGCCGCAGATCTGTCTAATGGTAAGAGAAAAAATGTACTCACTTGTTTGTACGTTGACCTGCCCCCCCCCCAAGTCATTGTGTATACCAAATCACCTTCATATGTCTTGACGGTTCTGACTATAAGTATTTTTCGAACGAATCATTTTCTTCAGGGACAAATACGACCATCTCCCTCCAGCTACCAGCTACCGAGTGCGACCCATCCACTTGGCGAGGAATTCCCAACAGGTGGTGTGCCTGTTTCCCGTTACAAAATACACATTTAGCGATAGCGCAAAAAGGTGACTGCCCTTGTTATCAGAATCAAGAAAATAAAGGAGGAACCCAAAGAGTTCTACGGTCTCTGAGCCGATTTCTTGGGCAATTTTTTCCTACCATTTGGTAGTTGATAAATCAAATTGCAAAGTGGACCTGCAGTGATACGAATTGCTCGGTTGACGACAAGCCACTCTCGACCTAATTCAATCTTCGCCGTAGTTCTGACTAGTGGAAGAGTAGAGGAGGGGAAAATCGGAAACTTGAGCCTCTTACCAATATAACAAGTGATTAATAAAAACACTGGGTTCTGAAATATGTGGAAATCTTCTGAGAATCTTGTGTTCCCTAACATACATTGCGATGTTTGCTCAATATGTGTTTCTAAATGGTTTGAGATGACCAAGTGAGCCCTGAATGGGCGGGGCTGCCATCACCTCAGCGCACCTTCGCCTCTCGTACTCACTCTTCCGTTTGCATTCCTCTAACTCTCACTACGAATTTTGCCTTCCTTCCAGAGAATCTTTTAGTTTTCAGTTCTAAACCGATGTCTCAACGGTTATTCGCTTCGGAATGTACTTAAGAGCTGCCAGTTTGCTTGTCGTACTGCTGTTAGTACGGCGATCTCTAGCTGAAGATTGTACTACCTCGCAGACGACTCGAAGCTACCTTAATGAGACGTTTCACTCTAGTCAAGTTCTAGTATCCGGTACGGTAGAGAAGATTAGCCCTGGTCTCTGACAAAAGAGATCTAGTGCAGGTATGTCTCTTGGAAATATTCCGTCCAAAACAGCTCCCTTCCCGGAAGCAAGAATGACAACCTCCTCTCCCTGATGTCTTTTCACTTCTCAGCAGTGATGAGCTCTACTTCCTTTAGATTACTTTTTCTTAGTTTTCCTTCCTTCTGTAAAAGACCAATTTGTTCTTTCTAGCACTTGAAAGTTCGAGTCCGAAGGGTGTTCAAAGGAAGGGAACACTTGAAATCCAGGTCTTCGATTGATGTGATTGTGCCATCAAGTTTTAAGGTGGGTTTTGAAGTTGGACAACCGCCAAAATACCAGAAAACAGTTCCCATTTCAGTTCTGCATCTCAGTACTGCTCGTACATGATACTCGTGTCTTTCCGTTGTCGATTGATGGGCAAGACCTCACTCTTTCTGCACCAGTTCTGCCCATCAACCTCAGTGTATTGGACTCACTTCATTCATTTATATTGAGTACGTTCTTTATCGATTTTTTGAGTTTTCAAAATCATCTTTAACCTTCATTCGGCCCTCTGTAGGTTCGTTTCGATAGGTAACCACACCTGGGCAGCAGCTGGCATATTTTCCTTTTCATTCACTCGTACGCTAGCGTTCATTGTCGCCCTCTTACCAATTACCGTGCCTAATTACTGGGAGTCAACTGACTTTTACATTGATGACGACAAAAAGGCCTCTGCGAGCAGAGCATCTGTCTTTTGCTAGATGGGATCGGTCCGATTCCCATGTAATCCTTTTGAAAGGCAGTTGATACCCGGGTATTTAAGAGTCGCAGAGCTTTTTCCAGAAGATTAGTTGCAGGGCACGGGATCGTGGGAATGCTCCCGATTCGTATCGCAGATGCCACCTGATTGTGTAACTCTTTGTTGTCCCAGCGCATTATTGCAATATGTCCTTCGATAAGCAAATACACCTTTGGATTCCGTAATTGCAGAATTATTACCTAGAGATACTGTGCCTAGTGAGATTCAGGGTTGGGAGAGAAATCTTGTAGACAACTATCAGTACTTTTGTAGGTGCAGTTCGGCGACTGGGAGGGTATTTTGCGCTTTCATTGGCTCAGCATACTTTACCTGATGAAACCTGTGAACTCCTGTGAAGCTCATAGAGCCACCTGTCAACTCACGGAAAGGCTCTGTAAATTGGTAGACGGGTCGATGGGAAGCAGCAAAAGTGCAAAATGCCCCCCCCCTTCTCCCGTCGCCGAACTAAATAAGTAGGCCCACTCAAATACTACTAAAATTTCGAGCTGAGGGCAAATGCACGGCCCCAGGAGAGCCATGATGTGTGCTGATGATTTAATCCTTTTTTACGACCTTCGTTTTCCTAAAAAAGATTAGTCTTCCCAGAGCGGCTCGAATAATTTCTCGATTTTCAGGAAAACCTCACAAGAAGCGAAAAAAGGCCAAAAAAAGTGAGTCATTTTACGGTTGTCAGTGGGAACAATGGAAAGTTGGTGTAGTGGCAAATGGAGTCACTTAAAGTGAGCCGTTGAGAGTGAAATCCCAAACGGTTTTCACCTAATCCTATCCAGCCATGTGGTACCAGCTGCTAATGTCTGGGAGGACAAAAATCCAACCTGCAGATCGACTGGCTCCCGCATTTCATTGCGCAGTCATCCGGAGATTAGAAGGCCACCATTGGGTGTAGAAGGCGTGGCACGTTCCATAAATGGTTTGACTGCCTCCGAATGTTTTGGCAGGCTTTATAGTCTCGTAGGAGCCATTTGAAAGACCTCGCGTGCAAAGTAAGAAATACAGTAAAAAAGATGAGAATGTTTGCCTAGCCCAGAGAGAGAATGAGCTTCTATGTAGAAAGAAGGAGTTACAAATAACAAAAAAAAACAAAACAATAACAAATAACAAGACAAAAAAGATAACAATTACAAATTTAATTGTATTCGGATGGCGTTATCAACGGTCTTGCATAAGGAGCGTTAGAATGCCTCCTTCGAGGTTATGGACGCCATTTTAAACATTTTATGTTTTAAAATTGGAAAATGCGGCACAGTTTACCTTTGCCGCTCTCCACTCTCGAGAAATGTTAGGATCAGATTTTGATAGATATATTTCTTCTCAGGCAGGGTATGCCCGAAACACTGTTTCGAAGGGGGCTTGACTCACTGAACACGATTTTCACATCCGTTCTGTCTCACGTCTGCGCCATAGGCAGCAACGCCCCAGATATTCTGACACCAGCGCCAGTAACCCATGAACCAGGCATACTCATGTCCAGCTAGAATGATATTCGGCACGACTTGGCACGAGTTTTCAACAAATTTGATGTTTCGAGGTGGCGTGTCGTCGAGGCCCGTGGTGCGGGAGCCAATCGGTTTTGCTCCAAGAAAACGCGACATTTGCTTTGAGGGAAGCCGATCTATTTTTGGTGCGCAACTCTGCCCAAATGTACCCGCTGGGAGACATTTCTATAAAAATCTCTTAATCTGGTCCAAATTACGGAAAGTAAGGCAGAAAAGGGTCAGCAGCACCGGAAGTTGGAAAAATTAGGGTGTTGCCACTCACCTTAGTTCCCTTTTGTCATTTTCATCCTTTGCTAGCAAGTTCCGAAATTAATCCCAACTTTACATTAGCTAAGTGGCATCTTCTAGAAAAACGTATTCCGCGTGCGACTAGTTTTTGAGGAAAAGTATTTCTTTTCATACTTCATGCTTTCAGGTCATTGCGAATCTCAGCTGTGCCCTCTTGGATCGAAATGCGTTTTTTCGACGTAAGTTGATTGCAAGCCACCTGTATTTTTTTTATTTTCGGCCTTAATTATTTGTAGAATTACTTCTGGTGCTATGCCGTTATAAAATTAGCTTATTTTTCTTGAAATATGGGGTTGTTTGATAAGGGCATCAGTGATAAATGTTTATCTTCGCCTCAGTTTCCCAAAGCGGCAGCCTTTGTCCCCGATTGTTATCACTGCTTTCCAACCCTAGACGCCATCGTGTCGGGCACCTGGTACCTACGTCAAATATACTTGCAGCTTCGCCTGCCCGTCTTTAAGACAGGTGCCGCTCGACCTGATCATCGTTACAGGATTTCATATTTCCGACAGGAGCTCACGACAGGTTCTAACGCTGACAAGGCCAATAGGAAAGCAATACCGGGGCCCCCTTCCAGAATTGTATTAGTTGTGAGACATCAAGGCTTTCAAGGTGACCCCAAAAAAGCTTAACACAGAAAGTTATTTACTCTGGCCCGAAAAAACGGCGTGATT